TTCCTGCCCACAACAGGGGGCAGAGAAGGCATTAGTCCTGCCAGGTGACAAGGCCGGGGTGGGAAGGCACCAGGGTCGATGGCCAGCCAATCCCCCAAGCCTCACGCATCGACACTGCTTGCACAAGGCACCGGCCCCTGCCCGGAGCGCTCATCCCAGGTCGAAAAGCCCCTTTAAACTGCAGATGGAGCCCTGACACCTCACTGGGCTGCCACAGGACCAGTCCCGCCCTGACTGGGCGTCTCCCACATGTGCTGAGTCAGAAGGAACCCTGCATGAGAAAGTGCTGTGACTCAGCAGCCCCATTCCCACGCCCGCCAGTCAAACCGCAAACGCAGGCCAGGCAGGCAGACACGCCCAGCAGGAAAGGGAACCGCAGGACACCTACAGCCCCCACAGCCCGCGGGGCCACAGGGCCACAGGGCCACAGGACAGGGCGCTGGAGGGCCTGCTCTAGAAGAGCCTGCACCATTCGCAGTAAGACAGCACTTGCGCTGCTACCTCCTGGCTGCCAACTGGATGGCAAGTGTCAGCAGAGAGGGCGTGTCAGCCCGACCCTCACTGGAAGCTCAGATAACCACAAACATCCCTCCTTGCGCCATGGGGAGCTGCTCTAGAGGGCCCTTGCCTACTGCCCAGGTGTACTGTCACTGCCCCGGAGAGCTCAACACAGAGACCCACTCCTGCTCCAGGCTCCACACCTAGCACTCCCTCCTGGGCCACCCTGCACACTCTTGGAGCACCCCATCCTCAGGGTCTCCTCCCCCAACTGGCTGCATTTGCTCCCTCACTGGCCCCACTCCCTCCCTCAGAGACTGCAGAAGGTCCTAGCTTCCAGAAAGCACTGAGCAGGTGCCCAAGAGCTCAGTGTCTGAGCCAATGCCAGAGCTGCAGGCTGGCTACTCAGCACCTCCACGAGGGGCCCAGGGCACCTGAGCCTTGAAGCGACCTCCAACCTCTGCCCTTCCTCTCATCTCATCGCACTGCAGAGCAAACCCTAGGTTACCCTCGTCTTTTCTTCTCTTGCACATCCTGTCTAACAGCCTGCAGAGAAGCTGCCTTCCACTGCGGACGCCCACCAGGACACCGTCACAACCTCTGAACTGTCCCCAGCTTCACTCTGGCCTCTGACAGCCTCTCCTTGGAGCTGACTGAGTGTCAGATTATGTCACAGCCCTACTCAAACCACTGGCTCGCCACAGGCCTGACTGAGAGACTCTGGGCTCTTTATCGGGGCCTAGGAGGCCTCACGCGATCAGGCTCCGGAGCTTGCTGTCTCACCGCAGACCACAGCCCCACGTGCTCATTTCCAAAGCTCGCATGCCAGCCGGCTGCCTCTGGACCTTGGCATGCGTTGCTGCCTCGGCCTGGACACTGTCCTTCCAGCTGCCCATGTGGCTTAGCTTCCATCACATGCAAATCTCTGCCCAAAAGTCACCTCTGCAGAGGTCTTCTCTGCCCACCAATGCAAAGGAGCCCGACTTCTCCCACCATCCTTCTCCCAACTTGTGGTCCTCAAAGCAGCCAGCGTCACCTCACACGGCACTGCTGCTCTGATGGGCAGTTTCTGAAGAGAATGCACGGATACACAAGAGCCCCTGGGACAGTGGCCACGCGAGCTGTACTCCCTGGGTGCACAGGAGTCGCCTAGGCCGGAACCTCAGGAGGGGGCGTGGTTGCAGATGCGTTGAGGCAGACACCGCAGGAGCAAGTGTGGAGGCCAGAACCCAGGGCACCCCAGCAATGGAGGGACAGAGGGTGCCAAGACAAGTGAGTCCACCCCCACCCTGGAGCACCTGAGGACGGGTGCTGACGCGCGGGGCTGGTCGGGGGGTGCCCGCCAGGCCCGAGGGCTCACCTCTTGATCTGCTCCTCGATCTGCTTCACCAGCAGTGACTCGCCGCCGCTGAGAGCCCCAGGCCCCGGCGTGGCCCTGGGGCCCCCCTCACTGGGCTCCACAGCCCCATTGAGCTCCAGGGAACGGCCCAGCAGGGAACGCACACGCTTGGACCGCATGTCGAGGATGGTGTCTGTGTAGCCCACTTCCTCCAGGTACCTGCAGGGGCAGACAGGCTGGCCAGACATCCCCTGGGCATCCCCTCTATTCAGGCCAGGGCAAACCGGACAGCCTTGTGGGTGCCCAGACTGACGTCCCGACACAACGGCTGTGCTTTGGAGACCATTCTGGGGGAAGTTCTCATGTACTCATGCAGCACCCCCAAGATGCTGCACAGGGGGATGCTGAGTGCAGGGACCACCCTCAATGTCCATCAACAGGGACTGGGCCAGCAAATTACAGAGAGGGACGCTAGGCAGGAAAGTGACGTGGTGCCGAGGAAGATGGCCATGACAATCAGCGTGAGGGCAATGGGAAACGGTGAGCTCCAGCCTGACTCTTCTTTTTACTTTTTTAGATTTCTGCCATAGGGCATGTCCACTTGCCTGAGAGAGATGGGAGGTGGGGGCTAAGAAATCATCCCCTGGGGGAAGGCCAGGCCACAATCCCTTCTCCTCGATTCTCCACCCAGGATTTTGGACATGCACACACACACCAAGTGTGACTTTCAGAATGCCGGGTCTGGGACTTGAACCACAGCGCTGGCCATGTGGGATCCAGCACCTTAACCACCACACCACCTGTTGGCCCCATGACTCATTCTTGAGAAGAAAAAAAAAAAGGTGCTAACGTGTGAATTTACACCACACACGCACACGTTAAGGCGGAGCGAGATACACGGAAAACTTTGCAGCAGTGACCTCTGCAGGGTGGGATCGGGGCAAGCGGAAACTTTTGCCGCGTTTCCTACTTCCTTCGACATACAAGTGTCTATTACTTCCACAGTTTAGACAGCTGAAGGCAGGGCCAGCTCCATCACAACGCAGTGATGCACTGCTCAAAAAGTAGCCAGATCCCACATGGGGACCGCGTTCAGATCCTCAGCAGTCAGCCAGATCCATGCTGGGGTGTGAGTGCCCAGGATCCAATGGACTGCAGGACTGGAGGGGACCATGGTGTGACCACGCCCCGTGGAGAGTGCTCCCCCACCCTCTCATGTGTGCGTGCACATGCTCTATCATAAATAAACAAACATAAAAAGGTTTTAATTAAAAAAAGTTTAAGCCAAGGGCCAGCAGATGGCATGGTGGTTATGTCACCGGACTCCCATACGGCCACTGAGGTTCGAGTCCTAGACCCAAAAGCTTGAAAATCATGCCAGTACATATGTGTGCATGCCCGAGATCCCAGAGGATGGAGAAGGGGTTGCAGTGTGGCCATCCCCCTGGGGGGTGAACTCTCACTTTCTCTCTCACGATCTCTGTCTCTCTCTGGCAAGTGCAGGCACCCTATGGCAAAAATCTTAGAAAAAAAAAATTAAGTCATGTAGGACTGGCCTAAGACTTATCAATATACAAAGCAAGCTAGTGGCGTCGTGGCTGGGGTGGCTGAGCCCACTGCACAGCGCAGTCGGAGTCCTGACCTGGCCGCTTGAGAGACACGCCGAGTGGGTGTCTGTATGTGCCCAAAAGCCCAAGAGGAAGGGGGATTGTGGAGCGGCCATCCCCAACAGGGAGGTGTTTTCTCACTTCCCCTCCTCTGCCTCTCCAATGCACCTAAGGCAATGACTGGGGAAAGCAGCAGCAGAAGTCAAGAACGCACGCCGGTGAGGGGCTACCTGCAGCTTCAGAGGGTGGGAGACAGTGGTCCCTGGCCAGTCTTCAGGAGGCCCTTCCTGTTCAACCCACCCCTCCAGCAGCTGCCCCTGCCCACACCTGAATTTGCTTGTCCCATCTCTCAAGAACCTGTGTGCATCTGAAGCTCCCAGATACCCACAAAAAGAGGGCCAGGGAAGATGGTTAAGAAATTGGACTGTGACAGCAGGTGGCATGGAGGTGAAGGCAGCTGGATCCCACATGCTCAACCTCACAGGTGGAGTCCCAGCTTGAAAATGGGCATGCGTGCCCAAAATCCCAGGAGTGGAATGGAAGGGAAGGGGCTGCGGCCTGGCCACCCGGCAGGTGCCTTCTCACTGTCCCTCTCCCTCTGTCTGTCCGTCTCCGGTGAGCACAGAAAACAGATGGACTCCGAGGCAGACTGCCGGATGCCGTCACAGGCCTCCACGCACTCACTGTGGGGCTTTCTGCCAACGGCTGGCTTTGCCGCCTCTGTCCTCTCACGGTGACGAGAGGGAGGCTAGCAGGGCCTGCACGGGGGCCGATGCGAGGAGCCGGCACGTGGAAGGTGTCTAGTTCAGCGCCAGGCACGTAATAACACGGCTTGGTAAGTGTGGCCCGTCATCGTCATCACCCCTGGGTTACCATTTGCCAAGATTTTAAACTAAGACTTTAATCCAGATATTTAGCTCGAGGAATACAGTATTTGCTCAAATAGTTTCCTGAAGTGTGTCACATTGTCTATAACAACCAAAAAATTAGAGGCAGGGGCCAGGGGCCAGCAGGTGACATGGTGGTTAAAGCACTAGACTCCCACATGGCTGATTGTGGTTTGAGTCCCAGACCTGGCAGCTTGCTTTTTCACTCCCCCACCCTCTCTCACTTGCAAATGTGCTCGTGTGTCTTGGAAAATAAAAAAAAAAAAAAAAAAAAAAAAAAAAAGATAAAGAAAAATTAAAATAACTTTAAAATAAATAAATAAGAGCCATGGTACAGTAATAAGGCAACTAGATTCACACGGGAAAGGTCTGGATTTATGTCCTGGGACCGCTTGGGCATGCTGATCTCCCAATGCCTATGCCCAAATTCTGGGCCAGCTGGGACTGGGGGGGGTCACAGATGGAGGCCTATGGGGACTGCCTAGCTCTCCATCTCTCTCTTTCTCATAAAGAATAAACAAACTTAAAAAACAAACAGGGCCAGGGAACCAGCAGTTAGCGTAATGGCTATGTCGCTGAACTCCCATGTAGTCGACCGTGGTTTGAGTCCTCGACTCGGTGGCATAAACTTATGCCAGGCACCTGTGCGTGCGTGCCCAAGATCCCGAGAGGAGAATGGAGAAAGGATTGCGGCGTGGCCACCCCCTCTGGGGGGTGATTTCTCACTTTCTATCTCTCTTTGTCTTTCTGGCAAGTGCACACGCCCTATAACAAAAAACCTCTCTGGGAAAAAAATGATGCGACAGGGGCCAGCAGTCGGCATAGTGGCTAAGGCACTAGACTCCCATAGGGCTGACTGCAGTTTGAGTCTCGGACTTGGCGGCTTGCAATCACACCAGGTACGTGTGCATGTGTGTCCAAAATCCCAGGATAAAATAGAGGAGAAGGGATGGTGGCATGGCCATCCCCCAAGGCGTGATTTCTCACCTTCCCCTCTCACACATGCCCTATGGCAAAAAAAAAAAAGAAAGAAAGAAAAAGAAAAAAAATGATGTGACATAACTAATTTACGTGGCAAGACGTTCACAACTCTTACCAAAAGCAGTGAGTTACAAAACCGCACCAGTGAAGGGAAACCAGCTTTTATATAACATGTACACATACAATAGACAGCTGTGAGAGAGGCTGATAGCACACATGGCCAGGGTTTTGTTTTTTGAGAGGTTTTCAGCACACACACGCCCGGCGTGTGTTCTAAGCCACCGGGTCCGGGACACAAACCGCGGTCTACTATGTGGGAATCCAGCGACATAGCCATTACGCTAACTGCAGGTTCCCTGGCCAGAAGGTTTTAAAGGGATATGAAATTCCTCGAGTGCTGGAATTATGAGTGATTTTTCTTTGTGCCCCCTATATATTTCAAGTTAAAAATGTATAATTCTTGGGACCAGCAGATGGCGTAATGGCTATATCTGTGGATACCCATGTAGGCAACTGTAGTTCAAGTCCCGGACCCGGTGGCTTAAACTCATGCTGGGCGCGTGTGCGTGCGTGCCCAAGATCCCAAGAGGAGAATGGAGAAGAAGGGATTGCGGTGTGGCCATCCCCCCGGGGGGTGATTTCTTGCTTTCTGTCTCTCTGTCTTCCTGGTGAGCACACATGGCCTATAGCAAAAACCTCTCCAAAAATAATAATAAAAATTTTAATTAATTATGGGGCCAGCAGATAGTGTGGTGGTTAAGGGCACTGCGCTCGCACATGGCTGACCACGATCTGAGTCCCAAACCTGGCAGCTTGCTTTCTCACTTTCCTCTCTCTCTCTCTGTCCCTCTCCAGTCAAATTAAAATAAATCAATAAATCAATAAAGTTAAATAAAATAATTCTTTCCAAAAAACACATTTAATTAGTTAAATAAATAAATAACAAAAAGGGGGAAAAAAAAAGAGTGGAGTCCCCATGTCCGCCTCATGTCCAGGCAGGGCGCCTGGTGCTTCAGTGTCTCCAGTGGGGACAGGAAGAACCACGGAGTCTTGGGGCTTATCTCCTAAGCCAAAAGTGCTGAGTCCCATCCCCCACACTTCCCTTCCACACTCACTGTCGGAGAAGCTGCCGCCCCTCCTTCCACACCAGCGGGCTGTTCTCCATGGTGACAGATTCCACAGGGCCATTGGAGACTGCGGAGTAGAAAGGAAGCAGCTGTCTTACTCAGGGCACTGCCATGTAGCCGTCATCTCCTCCATCCGCCTCACCCCTCAGCCCCCGGCTAGTCACTGCCGTGGGTCCTGCGGCATCAGTTCCTGGGTGTCAGGCCCACTGTCTCCCGTTCGTTCTCAGGGATTCTGCCTCCGTGAAGTGCTCATCCCTGGTCTCCCATCTGGCTGCTCCCCAACCACCCCCGAGGAGGCATCTCCAAACTCAAGGCTACACTGGCCCCCCAGCGGGGCTGCACAGCAGAGGAACGGGGCCAATGTGGCTGGCCAGAGGCTGCCGTGAGCCCGGGCCCTGGGTTTGAAAAACACCCTGGTGCGTGTGTTCAGTGCATGTCCAGGGTCCTGCCAGGACAGAGAACTGGAGGAAAAAAGACTACAGTGACCAGGCCCCTTTGGGGAGTGCTTTCTCTTTCTCATCTGCATGAGCTCATCCTCCCTAATGTTCATAGAAAATAAAAACAAATAATAATAATAATAATAAAACAAACACCTCAGAGCTACACAGAAAGCTGGTTTAGTTCTAAGAGAACAGGCAGACCGAGCCCAGCGGGCCTGCCACTTCCCAGCAGTGGGACTTGAGCAGGACGGTTTGCCTACTGGAGACGCGGTTCCCCCTTCGGAGAGATGAGTGTGACAGCATCTCCCCCTTGGAATCGCTGCGAGGACTCAATGAGACCGTTTGCTTAGGATTTTACTGACCCAGTCCTTCCTGGGCACCTAGGTGGTGCTTGGCCAGGGGCCTGGGTGACATCAGTAAACAAAGACCCTGGCCCTTATGAAACTTACATGCTACTAGAGAAGTCTGACAACAGATAACAGTCGTCACTACTGGCCTGGCTTGTATCACCGTGGCCAGACTTCGCCATTACCCAGGCCACCCTCCACGTCCAGCGCCCTGCTCCACTTGTTCCAGTCACACTGACCAACTCCTGTCCCCCGGCATTCGCTCTACAGGCATGCGATCCATCCCTCCCTCACCGGGACAGCTTCTCTCATGCCCCGGTCCCTCCTTCAAGGGGCTTAGTCTGTAAGGGACCAAGGGCAAGGACCGTGTCCACTTCGCTCTTCGGGGTGTACCTGACCTGTGACACAAAGCCAGCGTCCCACAGATAGAACACTTTTCTTGGGGCAAATGAGTGGATGAATAATTGAACGACAGCCCAGTTCAACACCGCCTCCTCGGTGAAGCCTCTGCCAGTTTCTCTACTGCGCCCTATAAATAGCCCGGCTCCCGCGCCTCAGGAGGGCTGCAAGAAGCTGAGTGTCTGTCTCTATTTCCCAGAGGGACAGGGCAAGACTTCTCTCATGGGCCCAGCACAGGACCTGGGGGAGGGCTCTGAGAAGGGAGACTCAAACCTCCCTGGCCCCTGGGGCCAGCTCTGCTTCCAGGGCAGCAGTGAAGAAAAGGGGCCCAGTGTCACACTTCTCTGTGACGGTCTGCTCCGCTGGGAGGCTGCACAGACTGGGCAGGGCAGAGGGGTCTACCTTGTTCTGGCAGATCTGCTTTCTTCTCCCCCTGGTTCAGGTCCGTCCCGAACTTCAGTTTATGATATTTGGCCCTAAAAGAGCAAATGAACAGGTGAGAGCCTCCAGGGTGCAGAGAGCCAGCAGTGCCCTCAGGGACATCCAGCCTGGGCCTCCGCCACGTTGCTCTCCTGCCTCTGAGCTGAGCTGCCCTCCCTGCCCACGGTCAGGGCACCACAGAGCGCACTCTGGCCAGGGACTCCCCCTGGAGTCAGGAGGACTGGCCTGCTGTCCCCGTTCCCAAAGGTGCTGAAGAAGTTCCTCACCTCTTGACACTTCAGTCCCTTATCAGAAACCAGGTCAGCACCCAGCACCAGAGGGCTAATGACATGTGGGCCCCAGCAGGGACCACGATTATGAGTACTGCTGCCGGGGTCTTTCCCACACGGCTCTACATCGCATCTCGCCCCTCCCTACAACGGAGCAGCACTGGCAAGATGGAGGAGAGCGCCCAACCCCACAGCACCCGCAGCTGGGAGGCAGCATGGCCAGGAGGCGGCGTGGCCGGGGCCAGGGTGGGAGGGCTCACCTCTCCTGCTTCAGTGCGTATTCTAACATCTTGATCCGCCGCACCAGGTCTGTTTTTAAATTCTCCTGTCCCTTCCTTTCTCCCTGGAGGAAAGCCACCTGAGCCTGGTGGGGACAGAGAGAAGGAGTCGGCAGGTGTCAGTCAAGCAGGCACAGCTCAAGCCCAGGCTCTCACAACTGTGTGTGCCAGCCATGTCCTTAGGTGCGAAGACCCTGAGCCAAGGCTCAATGGGCACTGAAAGGACATGGTCCCAGAATCCCTTGCAGTGTCAATGAAGAGCTGAAAGGCTTCATCCTGAAATTAAAATGAGCTAGCCTCTCAGGTGGCTAGATCCCACATGGCCAACTGCACAGTTCGAGTCCTGGACCCAGGGGCTTGAAAATTACACTGGAGGCATGTGCTTGTGTGTCCCAAATCCCGAGAGGACAGTAGAGGAGTAGGGATTGCGGTGTTTCTCTCTCTTTCTGTCCCTTTCTTCAGTAAGAGTATGTGTCCTATAGCAAAAAAAAATTTTTTTAAAAGGAACAGTCTGGCCTAACTTGGTTGCTGCCTTTTGGGGAGCAGGCGGGCAGGGAAGGGTAGGAGGTAGGCATGAACAGCCCTGGACTCCGCCCTCCGTCCCCTACGGCAGGTGTTGTCACTAAAGTTGCTGGTGGAGGTGGCTTCTGACTATTCCTACTGGAGCATCTGTCTCTGGGAGGCGTAGGAAGCTACTTCTGGAACTTAGGGACAAGAGTGGGTGGCTTGGCTTTGCTCCCCGTTCCCAGCACAAAAGCTTTGCTAGCCACCCCCCACCGTGGGACCGACCAGCCACGGAAGGCTGCACTGGTGTGAGGGATGTGCCACAGACATGACCCAGGCTCCTGCCAGGCGCTTTACACCGTCTGCTGGCTCCGGCTGCCTGTCTGTGCCGCTCTGTCAACAGGCCTTTTAGAGACACCGGCCAACGGCCTTCGAGGCAGGATCCTGGCCCCTGACCATGTTCCGGAAGCCCTTCTGCCAAAGCTCCAAGTGCAGACCTCAGCCTTGGCTTCTCTTCCCAAGAGTTCCCCTGTTCTAGCCAGGACAGCCTGAGCTCCAGGCTCTGCTCGGCTGGTACTTCTGCATGGCCTTGGAGGTCACTGACCTCTGAGCCTCCATCAGTCCTAGAAAAAGGGCCTCATGAGTGCCTTTCCTGAGGCCAAGGCCTAGCATAGGATGAGGGTCCACGAATGCCAGCTCCAGCTCTTATCATCTCTATTCTTCCTGTCAATTCTTTTGTAGCATTTCCATTCAGTCCCTGGGTCAGCCAGGTGGTGTGGTAGCTAAGATGCTAGATCCCATATGGCCAGCTGCATGGTTCAAGTCCTGGACCTGGAGGCTTGAAAAACACTCTGGGCATGTGTGCACACGTACCCAAAATCCCAACAGCACAGAAGGGATGGCAGCACGATCATCCCCCTGGGGGAATGATTCCCCACCCCACCACCCCCAGTGAGCACACACCCCTCATAGCAAACTTTAAAAAAAAGGAAAAAGGACCTAGTTCTTTAGGGGTGCTTGAACCCCCTGAGACCCAAGACCCAGAAAGGGGGGATGTCTGTGAGTATAGCTTCCTGCGTTGGACAGCTGTATCCTCCTGGGCCAAGCTCCCCACGTGTCGGGGCCAGTTGAACTTCTGCAGCTCCAGGAGAAGCCCAGGCCCTGCTCAGTCTCAAGTTCGGGCTGCAGAGCCATTCGGATGCCACACATACTGCTCTCCATTTCCTTGGGGCTTGCTGGGCCCTGTCCCACCTGCCCCAGGCACCTGCAGCGGAGCACAGCCCTGTGCCCATAGGCCTGCTATCGCCCCTCACCTGCCGAGGATGGTGTCGCCCTCAGATTAACAGAGAACTGAGCACACGGTCAGTAATACCTAGCACTGGTGGGGTCTTAGGCTCAGTCCATGGAGTCAGGAACTGGTGCACCCTGTCTGGGGGGGCAAGCTGGTACTACCTATAACATGTTAAATGGGGGGCCAGCAGGCTGCGGTACTGACTCCCACATGGCAGACCACAGTTCGAGTCTGGACCTGGCAGCTTACTTTCTCACTCTCCCTTTCTCTCTCTCTCTCTGGTCAAACTGAAGAAGAATAATAAAATAAAATAGAAAATGTTAAATAGGGCTGCCTGTAGCCTAGCAGTTCAGGGAGCCAGATCCCATGTGGCCAACCAGAACCCACACGGCTGAGCCATCTGTGGTTCGAATACCAGCCCTATGGCTTGAAGAGCATTCCAGGCACAATCCCAGTAAGATGGAGAAATGGAGAAGAGATTGCAGTAACCATTCCCCATTGCGGGTGCTTTCTCCCTCTGCCTCTGTCTTTGTGCCTTCTGTCCATTAAAGAAAACGTTAAAAGCACATTCCTTTGGTCCAGATAGTTTCACTTCCAGGAATTTATCCTCTGGGCACACTTCTAAATAAATACCGAGATACACATGCACTGATGAATGACGAGCGAGCACTCATTTACCCACGTGTACTTATAACACCCAACTACAGAGCGGGTGTCGTCTGGGCCTACGACAGCATAGGGCAGGACGGAGTTCACATTCTAGCAGGAGCTGGAGAACAGACCATCAACAAATGAGTACACGTCACTGTGGGAAAGACCCGCCCCTGGCCATGGAGAGAGGGGGACCTTTATTCCCTCTCCACACTTTTTAGCAACGCACATGTATGTAAATACTAAGACCAGACAGCAGACGACACACATGTGAACACCACCTCTGAAGTGTGAGTTTCCATCCCCTGTGTATCTTCTAAGTCCCCAAATCTATTCTACCAACCACTTTAGAAGGTGGGGAGGGGAGAGGTGGGGAGGAGAACGCTGACCTCCAAACACAAGTCCCACGTATCCTGCTCACTGTCCCCCCCTGTCCATTTCGATCCTACGACTTGCCAGCAGAGGCTGAACCCACTGAAAGCCTGCCTGCACCCAAACCCACGGCCACGGCCATGGGGTAACTGCCCAACACACGGTGGGTACTGTGCAAGGCACAAGGAGAGCAAAGGGGAAGCCACACGGGGCCTGCCCCCACAGGCTCTCTGCTCAGTGCAGGAGACAGGAGTGAGCTGCCCCAGATCACACACGTGATGTGGCGGGGGGGAGCCAGAGATCTGTGGGGGACAGGGTGGGGGTAGGGGTGTGTGACAGTGACCTGAGGCTGACCAGAGTCAGCCAGAGCAGCAACGAGAGCCTGGCAGCTTTGGAACTCTGACAAGGTCAGCGGGGCAGCTTCGGAATGCACGGGTTAGGGACCAAAGTCAGAGGAGTGTGCCGTCCCAAGGACAGGCACCAGGTACTGGGTTAACAAGTGTGAATTCATCTAGAGCACGGGGAAGCCTAGACGGGCTCTGAGAAGGGATGGAACCAGATGAGAATAGCACCGAGAGCCGACAGATGGGGCGCAGGGGGCAGTGAAGCTAAAGGCCGAGGAACAGCAGGCACAGGAGGGGCAGTCACTCACACCCAGGGAGCAAGGCCAGCAGCCGGGCTGGGACAGGCAGTGTGCCGAGAGGTGGAGTGAGGAGGCTGGAACCTAAGACAGTGTCTGGGGAGGGGCTGAGGGTCCCTCCCTGCTACCACAGCAGCCCTGCTCTCCCCCCACGTGGCGCAGATCTCATCAGCCCAGCCTTCCGGTCCCCTTCCCAGATCCTTCGGCTGTGGGGAGGGAGGAAGGAGAACCAGGAAGATATGGCCGAGAGTCTCAGGCTGGTGGGGTTCCACAAGAAAGAGGAGGTGCGGGCAGCCAGACTCCCCACTGGACCTCGCCCTGCTGGGTCTAGGTGCCTGCTCACCTGAACCACCACCACCTCCCCCTCGGGCCAGACTGGAGAACACGCCACTCACCTCCTGAGCCTTGGCTGCCACCTCGCCACCTGACGGACCTCTCCAGCAAGGCAGCATCTAAGGCTTGCCGAGGGGTCAGCGTCTCCATCCTCCCAGGAGCGAGGGCCTCACTTTTTGGGTCTTTCTGTCCCACCCCTTGGGAAGGGCTCCTGTCCAGTGCCACGGAGCCCTGCAGCTCCTACGCCCTGCCTCCCCACACCCTGCGTGGCTCCTGGCAGGGATGAGTTCCCTCTAGATCTTTCAGAGCCCCTGGGAGGCTGGAAGTGGGGAGGGGACAGCTCTATACTCATCGCTGGCCCACTCACCATCTCCTGTCACTGCTCCTATGTAAATGAGCTGACCACGTTCTTCCCCACAGGGTCCTCTCCTCAAAGAGCTTCCCTTCTCAGAAGTGCCACGGGACACGGCAGGGTCACGCAAAGGAGAAGCCACCTGTGCATGGATGTACAGAACTCTGTAGAGCCTATGCCTACTCTGCCTCTGCTGGCCTGGGAGTTTCTGAAGGGCAGAAACCACATCGCCGGCATCTCAGAATCCCCACACCTGCAAATTC